AACCCTGCCTTCCTGCTCCTCTGATGCTGCTTGGCCTGCTGTGTTCATCCAGGTCTACACCTTGTTATTACAAAAGAATGATATGCTTTGCCTTCATCACAAAGAATGAGGTGCATGTGACCAGAGATTTTTATTAATATATTTGTCAGTTTGTTGAAAGTATCTTGGCCAAATCAAATACCTTTGGGAGACACGCTCATGACATCATCACTGTGTTGTAGCATGTGGTTTAAGGGTATAAAGTTTTCATGTACAGCTTACCCAGGATTAGTTGAAACATGCCATGTTACTGGAAACATGCTGATCTACAAAATTAATAGTTTAACATTAACCTTGACAGCTAAGTGCCTGAGAATGTAATGTTTGTGTAAAATAGTTAGGTGTAATAGAAGTCTGCTGGATTTTCTTAGGTCACTTGGTCATTGCTACATCAGATAAAATACCCTGCAAGACGAAAAATCACATCAACTCCCATCTGTCCCTCCAAAGTAATTATGATTAGGTGGCAATTGCAAAGTCTCAGACTTAGCACTGTTTAAAGTAATCTTCGCTTCCTCCAAAACATCTTCAACAAGTAAGGTTGAGTAGAACAAAAACAGAAATTTTTGTCAACACACGGAAGAACTAGCAACATCTGTGGGGAGAAAGCAGAGTTAATGTTTCAACTCCAGTGACTCTTTCTTAGGACGCAGACTTGAAATGTTAATTCTGCTTTCTCTTCACAGATGCTGCTGGAATGGCTGAGATTCATCAGCAATTTCCATTACTTTTTCAGACCTCCAGCATCCACAGTTCTTTGTTTTATTATGAAGCTGAGTGGACCGTTTTCTGATCAAAATGAGATCCTCTATCAACACCAATCAATGTGAAAAGAGATTAATTGCTTATTTATCTAATGACTTATCCAGAAGGTAGCTTAGGACATTATGATGTTGCTGATTGAGAAAGCTTGCTGTGTTCAAATTAGCTGCTGTGTTTCATCATTTCATCTGTGATGAGGCGTAAACACACTCCATTGGCTCCAAATAGTTAGATGTTAGATTAAATGTACAGATTTTTTCTCACATTTGATGACACAACAGCAATAACTACATTTGAAATTTAATTAATGGGCAGGAGAAAAGCCTTCAGATAGCCTGAAATAATAAGCAGCACAATAAAAATGCAAGTTAATTGATTTTTTTTCTAACCCAATACAAGACTACAACTGTAAAAAAACTTCTGCCCTTCTTACTGTTCTCCTTACCCAACATGGTGGTTCAGTGGTTAACACTGTTGCCTCACAGCACCAGGGACACAGGCTGAATTCCATCCTTGGGTAACTGACTGGTGGAGTTTTCACATTCTCTCCATATACGTGCAGGTTGCCTCTGGGTGTTCCGGTTTCCTCCCACAGTCCAAAGATGTGCAGGTTAGGTGGATTGGCCAGGCTAAATTACCCACAGTGTCCAGGGATGTGTAGGTTAGATGGGTTAGCCATGGGATAAGCAGGGTTAGGGGGATGGTTCTGGATGAGATGTTCTTCAGAGGATTGGTGTACACTTGATGGGTCGAATGGCCAGCTTCCACAGTAGGGATTCTATGATTACTCTTCCCTTCCACCTCACCAGCCGTCAAGAATTATTATATTGGATATGGTCATTACCAAAATGAAAAATAAGCATAAAGACAGAGCTTCTGAACAGTGAAATTTATGTAAGAATGCTAATACAACTGCATTACATTTCTAAGCATATTTTTATTTGCAGGGATTAAGCTCTTCAGAATGAATGAGTTTGTACTTCAGTAAATACAGCCCATACGAGAATGTAATATTTAATTTGTTAAGTATTCTTAAAGTGAGCATTAGTGATTGGAATTTCTATCCTATGATTCCCTGGAAGAACTGAAAGAGCAGGGAATTGTTTTTTGATCTCGCTGCAGTTATCATACAGTATTGACCAACTTTAAAGAATAATCCACCATTTCAGTAGGAGTTGATGGATGTTTGATTGGCCCTAAAAAATTATTTGTTTTTAATTAGATGTGTTTTTTATTTAGTTGTAATTAGTAAAACTTCTCATGTCCTTGCAGGTGTGAATTTATGAAAAATTAACATTTTGTCTCTCTTTAAACACTTAATGGTAAGGCTCTGGGGTGTGTAGCCGAACAAAAAGGTATGAGGTGCAGGTGCATAGTTCCTTGAAGGTGCTGTCATAGGTAGACAGGGTAGTGATGAAGGCATTTGGTACTCTTGCCTTTATTAGTCAGTACTTTGAGTATCGGAGTTGGGAGGTCATGTTGTGGCTGTACAGGACATTGTTTAGGCCACTTATGGAATACTATGTTCAGTTCCAGTGTCCCTGAAAGATGTTGTTAAACTTGAAAGGGTTCAGAAAAGATTTACAAGGAGGTTGCTGAGGTTGGAGGACTTGAGCTATAGGGAGAAACTGAATAGGCTGGGGCTATTTTCCCTGGAGCATCGGAGACTGAGGGATGACATTTTTGAGGTTTATAAAATCATGAGAAGCATCAATAGGGTGAATAGCCAAGGGGAGTCCAAAACTAGAGGGCATATGTTTAAGGTGAAAGGGGAAAAAATTAAAAGGGGCCTCACGCAACTTTTTTCACACAGAGGGTGGTGTGTGTATGGAATGAGCTGCCAGAGGTAGTGGTGGAGTCTGGTACAATTACGACTTTCAAAGGCATCTGGATGGGTATATTAAAAGGAAAGGTATAGAGGGATATGGACTAAATTTTGGCAAATGGGACTATCTTAATTAGGATACCTGGTTGGCATGGATGAGTTGGACTGAAGGGTCTGTTTCCATGTTGTACAACTGTGTGACTCTATAACATGGAGAATGAACAATCTGCAAGACAATAAGATGGAGTTAAAAGGTCAGGTGATCCATCTCTTTGCCTGCTATGAAACTGTCCAAGGCTGAAAGTAACCAGTTTGTCTGGTTAGGGTGTTAAATTATAAACAATCTTTAATTGGGATATACAATTGAAAAAAACTATTAAAATGCATCAGATCTCCCTTTGGGTTCAGCAGATACTATTGTACAAATTCTTACAGAAATGTGTGTGTATGTGTGTCTGTTGGGGGTAGAGTGAGGGACATTTTAACATAAGAAGATGCAGACAACTCAGAATCAAACCCCAATGTATAGTGACACTAGAATCATCAGGGACAATTTGTATGGACAATAGGTACTGATACTACAGTCACCTGACAGAAATGTGCTTGTGATACAAAACATGTTGTTAGCACACGTCTTGACAGCAACCTCAAGTCAGTCAGAATGGGAGACAGCAATCACTAAAAGAAGAGCTCCAGCCCAATAAGAGGATAAGGCCCTATCTGGAAATTATAAACAGGCAGAAAATGGAGGCAAGCTTTTTAATTACAAATGTGCAAGTTTAAAACCAAGCTTCAGTACTTGGGTTTGATTACAACTTTGACTGCAGCAAAAGAGTTAGCCATGTGAATTCATTGCCCGAAACATACAACCTCCATTTTCCACAATAAACCAAAAGGAAATCATTATGTTGTTAAGTTGCCAACTTCCATTTTGAAAGACGAGAGTAGTAGTGACTTCTTGGGCTATTCCCAAACCTAACTGAATGCTACTTCTTTTGAAATGGCCTTTTCTTGTGTGAGCTGTGTAAAACTTTATCGGTTAATGCTGTTTGAATTATATTTGGGTGCTGAGAAACAAACATTCATTCCTTCATTTTATAAAAGCACCTGTTTGATCTTCTGAGTCACAGAACTCAAAGGGTTAAAATGAGTAGTCTTCAAAACGTATTGTTGTGATTTGTTGAAAGGTGGAAGAAAAGGGAAACAATCCTATCATTTCTCCCCTTATTATTACAAATTTCCAAATCATTTATAGCCTCAATGTCTGAGGTTGCAAAAATAAACTGTTAAATATTTTTCAACTTAGCCACTGACATTCAGAAACAACTCAAATAATATTTGCATAATACACACTAGATGCCGTTGCTACAGATTTATTTTGCTGCAAATGTTCAGGCATATGTTATGCAGAGTGCTAGCTCCCATCACTTTCTGTCAGTAGTCTCGAAGGATGAGTGCAAGATTTATATCAGGCAGGTATTCACAGCCCAACTCATTCTGTGTTTTGTTGTGAAGAAAAACCCAATGCATACAGTAGACAGGCAATTTAATACCTGCCATCTATTACTGATAGCAGCAGAATTTGTAAATGCTTGAGGAAATACATTCAATTTAAGTTGCTTTGATCGAAACTAAACACGATTTTAGGGGACGCTACAATAAATAGTACTGAAGTTTCTACTTTTTGTTTTGTGTGTGAAAAACATGTTCAAAGTTCAACAATAAAAGGTTACTACAAAACAATGAGAATATGGATCATTGAATGAATCATTGGAATAGATAATGAATTGTTGGAAAGGTACAAAGCAACAGGTGCCAGTTCAGACATACAGTTGGTTCTGCTATAACGTGAGTTCCATCAATGCGAATTGGCTGTAAAGCGACTGACAAATGGGGAAACACTATTTCTACAACGCGAGCTTGTGTTGACTATAACATGATTCCATCGGGGTGCAGAGGAGTATGTGTCGACATCACATGATCATTTCACAGGCTTTATCGTGAATACATCCAATGTCAGCGCCGAAAGAGTCTCCGCGCCAGTGTCACGTGATCATTTTGCTGGCTGTATCGTGAAGTGCTTTCTGTGAGAGGTACAATACAACCTCCTCCGCCATCAAATCATCTTTACAATTTTTCAAAGTAAAGTGTTAAATTTACTTTTATTTCATTATTACATATGAATTAAACATTTATTCAAATTGTGCTATCATTTGTGTTAGGCTTTTGGGTGATTTTTGAGCGATTTTGAGTGAATTTTTTTCGGTGGTCTGCGCCTAACCCCACTTTTCCCATGGGTCCTGTTATTTCTTTAGTGCAATTTTCTGTAATGCGATACTGCACAGGAACGCAACTACTGCATTATAGCAGAATGATCTGTATCAAATGCACAGCCTGCAAGCTGAATCTGGCTGACAGAAACTGCGTACAATTCTCTACTCCAGCATCCTGGTGAGTCAGTCATGTGTGCATGTGATAGTTTTAACGTTGTTGGGTTAACAAGTGGGCCATGATAGGCACTGTCTGTGGCAAGCTGCATAGCTTCACAATTCCCTCTGTGGTGTTCATTGGCTCAGCCAGGATTAGCAGGTGAGTGATGGTGTGAGGGAGTTAGATCTTGCAAACAAGCACAAGATCACTTGTGGCTACACACAGGGAGCTAAGTGTCCTGATGGGGTAGGATTCAGCTACTACAGTTTATGTATGCCGGATTAGGAGAGGAGGAGAGTACTGAACAGCATGGTGTGACTACCCAGACATGATGCTCCCATGTCAGCTGGTATGTCAGTACTGGTGATCTTGCTGAAGCCAGAATTCAAGCTTCAATCAGCAACAAATGGGAAAGATGAAAGCCAGGATTTGTACTTAAGGAAGAGGCCTTAGGAATAGCAGGTGTGCTCGTGGTCACCTTCCAAAATTCTGTAAACTCTTGAACAGTCCTATGGATTGGAGGGTAGCTAAGCAACCCCACTATTCAAGAAGGGAGGCAGAGAGAAACCAGTGAATTACAGACCGGTTAGCTTGACATCAGTAGAGGGAAAAATGCTACAGTCCATTCTAAAAGATGTAACACAGATCACTTGGAAGATAGTGACATGATCAGACAGAGTCAGTATGGATTTACAAAGACAAAGTTCATAGATCATAGAATCGCTACAGTGTGGAAACAGGCCCTTCGGCCCAGCAAGTCCACACTGACTCTCAGAGCAACCCATCCAGACCTACCCCGCTATAACCCACCTAATCTACACATCCCTGAATACTATGGACAATTTAGCATGGCCAATCCACCTAGCCTGCACAACTTTGGACTGTGGGAGGAAACCACAGCACCCAGAGGAAACTCACACCACGGGGAGAATGTGCAAACTCCACACAGACAGTTGCCCGAGGGTGGAATCGAACCCAGATTCCTGGTGCTGTAAGGCAGCAGTGCTAACCACTGAGCCACTGTGCCACCATGCTTGACAAATATAATGGAAATTTTTGAGCATATAACCAGTCGAGTAGATAATGGGGATCCTATGGGTGTGGTTTCCTTATATTTTAGGAAGGTCCTGCTTAAGAGGTTGGCATTCAAAATTAAAGCACATGGGATGGGGTTTGTGTACTGAAATAGATTGAGAACTAGCTGGCAGTTTGGGAATAAACAGGCTCTTTCTGAGTGGCAGGCAGTGACTAGTGGTGTACTGCAGGAATCAGTGCTAAGACCCAAGGTATTCGCAATGTATACTAATTATTTAGATGAGAAAACTACATGTCACATCTGCAAGTTCGCAGATGACACAAATGTGGGAGGGACGGTATGCTGTGAGGAGGATGCAGAGATGCCTCAGTGTGATTTCGATAAGCTCAGTAAGTGAACAACCTCGTGGCAGCTGCAGTATAATGTGGATAAATGTGAGGTTATCTACTTTGGTAGCAAAAACAGGAAGGCAGACATTTATCTGAATGGCTTCAGATTGGAAAAGGGGGAGGAGAAACAAGAGCTGGGTGTAGACTGGGATTATACTCATTGGAATTCAGAAGAATGAGGGGACATCTTATAGAAACATATAAGATTATGAAGGGAATAGATAAGGTGGAGGCAGGGAGGTTGTTTCCGCTAGCAGGTGAAACTAGGACTAGAGGGCATCACCTCAAAATAAAGGGAAGTAGATGTAGAACTGAGGTCAGGAGGAACTTCTTCACCCAAAGGGTTGTGAATCTGTGGAATTCCCTGCCCAGTGAAGTGGTTGAAGCTACCTTGCTGAATGTTTTTAAGGCAAGGCTAGTTAAATTTTTGAACAGTAAAGGGATTAAGGGTTATGGTGAGCGGGCGGCTAAGTGGAGCTGGGTCTCAAAAAGATCAGCCATGATCTTATTGAATGACGGGGCAGGCTCGAGGGGCCGGATGGCCTACTCCTGCTCCTAGTTCTTATGTTCTTATGTTCTTATGTTCTTACGTCCTTTTACACCAGTTGCTGAAAGTAAACATGCAAGTGTAGCAGGCAGTGAGGAAGGCAAATGGTATGTTGGTCTTTATAGTGAGAAGATTCGAGTGTAAGAGCAGGGATATCTTGCTGCAACTGTAGAGGGCGTTGGTAAGAGCACACCTGGAATTTTGTATTCAGTTTTGGTCTTTTTATCTGAGGAAGAATATTTTGGTTATTGATGCAATGTTAGGAAGATGTACCCGCCTGATTCCTTAGACAGCAAGACTGACATACAGGAAGATACTGGTTCAGCTCAGACTATGTTCACTAGAGTTTAGAAGAATGAGTTGTTTTTTTAGGGGGGGGAGGGCGGGATCTCATAGTAGGCTATAAAATTCTTACAGGATTAAACAGGGTAGATGCAGGAAAGAAGTTCTCAATAACTGGGGAGTTCAGAACCAAGGTCACAGTCTAACAATAAAAGCTAAGCTTTTAGAACAGAGATAAGGAGGAATTTCTTCAGCCAGAGGGTGGTGAGCCTGGAGAATTCTCTGCCACAGGGAATTGTGGAAACCAAATCACTGAAGACATTCAAGAAAGATGTAGATATAGTTCTTTGGACTGAAGGAATCATGGGAAGACACTACTGAGTTGGATGATCAGCCATGATCATACTGGATAGCGTAGCAGGCTTGAAGGGCTGAATAACCGACTCCTGCTCCTATATTTCATGATTCAATTTAACAAAATTTTCTGCCCTTCTGCTGGGAATTCATTTTCAAACTTAATTTGGAACAACATATTTGCATTTTTTTTAAAATGTCACTCAGTACATTGTTATTTTTAAATGTTTGTCAGTAATTATGGAAAGGGTCTCTTCAACAAAAATATAAGGTGAATGGATTTATCTCTTGCCTATTTCAGTCCTGCATAACTTGCTGAGATGTTTCTGGATTGTTGAGATCCTTGAATTGTTGTTAGGGTAACTGACAGTGGTTTGTATCCCAGAGTAAATTAGTGAGTTGTCATACAGAGTATTGGAATTGTGGCAGACTATACTCCCAAGCACTTCACCTTTCGTGTTTTATTTGGAGAGATAGGAAATGAAAAACTAAGTTTGCAAAATTGGTTAAGTAGAACAGACTCAGCTAAGTAACTGAAGTCTAGAAACCTATCAAATCTATCCTTTGAAACAAATGGCAGGATTTTACACATGGCAGAATTTGTGAAGAGCCAGCAGAGATTGCAGCTCTGCCAATTACAGACGCCCTGCGGTCATTATTAGTTGGCTGGAGGCAAGATTCCAGCCCTTCATTCAAGAGGAACTCCCATTTCGTCTAATTGACAGCAACTCTGCAGTCCCAGTAGCACTCAGCAGAAGCTGTGGTCACTGCTGGAGCTGTTGTATAAGGGCTTTGAGACCCAGAAGTAATCTTGTGATGATATTGTGGAACTGCACACCACTAACATAAATAGCACAGTGTGCACAAAGCTAGGCCATTCTACACAAAACCAGACCAAAGTAGATGAGATTATATGACTCTCTGGAAACTCACACAAGCACATGGACGCAAACACATAAAGAGATAGATTAGCCTGTAGTAATATGGCTACAAGCTAGAGCCTGATATGCCTATGTTTACCATGTATGACAGTATTTAGTATGAAAGGTAAAATCACCATTGTTCTAACAGACTCTAGGGCTGGTCTCTCAATAGAGACAGATGACTGATGGTGGTTCAATCTGAGGGGCACCATGCCTCAGGCGAGATTGAGAAGGAGCGCTCTCCCTAACAATCATAGTGAGCGTTGGAACTGAACCCACACTATTAGCATCAAACGGCAACCAGTTGTCCAGCTAACTGAACTAACTGAACATCTGGTTTATTGAGTATGAGTGTATAATAAACAGCATTACTTTGAAGTGTAAGCTTGAAGACAGTTACAAGACTAAAAAAAAATTGCAGTAGTCTCCATTTTCAAAGTCCTGGAGCTGGGATGCAGCTAAGTGTAGGGGTCTTCTGGCGAGGATAGTGGGCAGGCTCAGGGTGTTGGGGAGAGGGGAATGGGGATCGTGTTTGGAAGGCTAGGCAGGGAGGGAGTTTGAAGGAGAAACACAATCTGGAGGCTGGGCCAATACTTGAGGCACAGCCTCACTACTTTCCTAAATAAAAACCGAAAGAACTGCGGATGCTGTAAATCAGGAACAAAAACAAAGTTGCTGGAAAAGGTCAGCAGGTCTGTCATCATCTGTGAAAGAAAAAACAGAGTTAACGTTTTGGGTCCAGTGACTCTTCCTCAGAACACGCTGTGTTCTGGGCCAATTAGAGTTTCAATTGGGGCAAGGGTGGGCAGACTACCCAAGGCCTAGCCTGTCCTCCTATTTGTAAAAAAAAAAATTGTTTAGAGTGAGCCACAAGTTGGTGGGAATGCCACTCAGGGAATTTTACAGGCCTTGATGCCTACAAATCCATGTGGCATGTGACCTTAAAAGTCTGCCCAAAATCTATAGAGAGGTAGGGTGCTATACCAATACAAAAGTAAATACTACATGTATTTGAAATCTAAAATAAAAACAGAAATGTTGGAAATGCTCAGCAAGTCAAACAGCACCTGTGGAGAGAACAATAAGAATTCATGTTTCAGGTATGATGGGATTGTGAAGGATTGTCACAAGCCACATTAGAGTATCTTTTGATCCATAGCAGACAATCCGTCTTACTTCTGTGAACCTCGAATACTGGGACATGTTAGACTGGTGTGAAATGTATTTGAGTTCCTCATAGAAAAGAAAATTAGGCTGGGTATAAAGTGTACTGTTGCCTCATTATGCTTCTTCAACTTGACAACCAAAGGCCAAGTGCATCCCTTGTGATGTGAGAAGTATTAGTCCAATTATAAAGATATGTGTATTCCATTGCCTGAAATGTACAACTTTCAACTTTGACAGAGATAGTGAGTGATAGCATCCAATTTTCTGTCATTACACAGCCCAGCTAAATGTCCTTTCCAATGAAAAGCAAAATTATCCTGGTGGTATAAGTGCCAGCTGATCGGATAGTGTCAATTTTACATCCCTGCAGAGGTTGAAAGTTGCCCAAGGGTCAAATTAATTTTCAACACCTTGTTAAAAAGACCACAGCAAATTGCTCAGGGCATGAAAGCAGGCACAAGGTGCATTACCCCATGATTCCTAAACAGTGATTGAGTGGCTGCATCTTCAGCAAGAGATGCAAAATCATGTTAAAGCTACTGCCCTACTTAAAGGAAGCACACACCTCTTAAAGGGGCTGAAAGACAATCCTCAATTGATTCTGATCTCAAAAAGGCAGAACAGCACGAAGAAAGCATTCATGAAAAAATTCCAATGGCACTATGAAGCCCTTGGTCCAGCAAGTGACAAGGAAGTGAGATGTCATCTAAACACGGTGCAGGGAGTGCTCCAGTCAAATTTTATAGAGGCAGTTGAACCAGATACCCTTGTAGTCAATCCCAATAATCGAGCTGCAATAACAAGAAGTTGACAGACCAACAGGAGCAAGGTGATCACATAATGGCCTTATATAATGCAGGAAATCGAGAAGTATGTTCAATGAATCTGTCAGTGACTCTATTTCAGTCATCTTGTTTAACTTTGCAAAGCTGATTGGTGAAGGAGACCAGCAGTCAATTTTTCTCAGTTTTAGAATTATTGAAAAAAGGAGATGTAAAAAATGTACAAATTTGAATGTACAGCACACCACCAGTGGGTTACTGTTGAAACACTGTGAAAAAAAAATCTTTAAAGAAAACTTTGTGAATTAAGATGTATTCCCAGCGTTGATGATGCATTCAAACATCTCTTGCTTTCCAGCAACCTCTGTATAGTGAATCGTCTCCAGACACTCCATGGTGTGGATGGAACAGGGAAAGAGTCAGTCAGATTTGATGAATCCTTCCTCACAGGTCTGGATCTGTTCATTCCAAGAACAGAGCTAAGAGGAGAACTTCCCATCTGCTCATCCCTATCTATGCCCAATGGCCAAAGACTGCAAATGTGTGGCTGCAGTGCAAACATAAATTAAGGATCAACCCCTTCAGGTAATGAAAGATGAGCAGCAATCTCACAAACTCTATATAAATATGAAATACATACACAAGAACACAGGAAAAAAAAAAATTGATCCAAGAGCCCATGAATTGTCTTAACCAATTATTTTACAAGACTGCAACGTGATACAAACTTCATGTCAAATTTATCAAATCAAAATGTCATTGTCATGTCATGTCCCACTGTCAATGTGCAGTTTAGGTGGGCAAATGAGGACTTCCTCATAGCAAACTCTCCATCAGGGACACCCCTCACTCTGCATTCTCCAACCTACTCCATCATATCATTCCTCAAGCCACATGTCTCAAGGATACATATATCCTTCATTCTCTGTGCCTGACCTTCATCTATATGTACATAATTTCAACTCACTATAATCATAATATAATTGCATAGCAGAAGGGCGCACAGAACATAAGGGAGAGGGAGACTGCTGTAGCTGATTCTCCAAACATCTCATTAGTAATGATGACAGAGAAGCACGAATTGGATATCACTGGAGATTGTGCAATTAAATATCAGAAGTCGATATGGTATGTGGCACTCACTTATTAGTATTAATCAAGTATTAACTTGATTTTGCCTGCAAATGAAACAAAAAGATAGTCTTCACCATGAAATCTTGTAACATATGTTTATCCTATCAGGCTAATTTATGTCTTTTACCTTAAGGAGGACCTTTAAGCATTCAGTAGAAATCAGTGGAATTCCTTGTCCAAGTTTCTTCAGATGATCTGAGTCATTTTCAGAGGGCATCATTTTAGGACACATGCCTATAATGTACCTACTCAGACACCTACAGTTGGTGGCACTATATGTGCAGATAACTGGACTTTCACTGCTGTTTCACAGTTCACAAGAACAGATAGGGGTAGTTACAGTTTTAGAGAGTCCACGTCAAAGGGTATATCCTTCTCAAAGATCTGGTTAGCTGGATAAAGGTTCCAAACTTTGAGGGGCCAGTGAAGAGAAGAAACATTCAACGGCAACAGACAAAGTGTGGTGTACAGATAGGTTTCCAAGTGTACTGACCATGATTGCACAAAGAATGGGGGAACCCCATTGTGTATGCATTGGTGGATGTTACAGTGCATTGTGGTGAGTTCTAATGTGGGAACAGTAGCTAGTACCTTAGAATATCAAACTCATCAATCACAGGTAATAGCACAATTCTTGTTCTAGATGACTGAACATGTCGCAGCACAACGGTGTAGATTGAGCAAACTTTATTGGGGTTCCCAGTCTTTAAAACTCAATGTGTATTTGCTATGAGTATCACAGTAGTCACAGCAGGGATCTAAGTCTTCCTCTCCCTCTGTTCAAAGAATGCTGACAACACATAGGAGCACAAGGTAAAGAGTTTTGTTGTTGCAGACCATAGGATTTAGGAGCAAAAGGCCATTCTGCCCATTGAGGCCACTCTACTGTTCAATTTGGTAATCATCTTCCCACTTTCCTGCCTTTTCCCCATCATCTTTAATTCCCTTTCAAATTAAGAATCGATCTTATTCTTGAATATTCTGAAAAGCATAGCCTTGACAGCTCCCTGTCCACAGATTCACTACTCGCTGCCAGAAGAAATTCTTCCTCTCTGTCTTAAATATGTGACTCCTTAGTTGGAGATTATACTGTCTGGTCCTAGATTCTCCCACAAGGGGAACCTACCTGCTAGCATCTAAACTGTGAAGACCTGTAAGATTTTATATCTGTCAATAAGGTTACCTCTCAGTTCAAGACCAACCTACAGAAGCTTTCTTCATAAGAAAATCCTTTCATACCTGGTATCAACCTAGTGAACTTTCTCTGGGCTGCCTACAGTTCCATCTCCATCTTTCCTTAGATAAGGGGACCAAAATGGTTTACAGAATTCTAGGTAAGACCTGAGTAGTGCCTTATGTTTTTTTTAGTAAGATTTCCCCATATTTATACTCTATTCTCCTTGAAATAAAGGCCAGCATTCCATTTGCTTTCTCCATTGAACTCACCATTGAACTTTTCACTAATCACTGTCTTTATGTGATTCATGTATGAGGACCTGAAAATCCCTCTGTACTGCAGGTTTAACTTTTCTATATCTCATTATATAGTTTTGTGACATTCTCACCATTTACCTTTCCCGTTTTTTTGTCATTCGCAAACTTGACAATATTACATTCACTTTCCTCACCCATAAGACCACAAGACTTAAAAGCAGAAGTAAGTCATTGAGCCCATTGAGGCTGCTCTGCCATTCAATTCAGCAGGGTGAGAGAGGTGGGTGAGTGCGATCAGGGAGGTGGGTGATCATTTTTGGAAGGGTGAGGGATGGCGCAATCACTTTCAAAGGAGATATATGAGGAGAGAGTAATCATTTTGGGGTGGATTGAGGGAGGGGACGATCACTGTGATGGGGTTGGGATTGGCGGTTGATTACTTTCAGGTCTGGTGGATGGTTAGATGGTTCATTAGGTGGATGGTTAGGATGGTTAGCGCTAAACTAAGAAATGCCAGCTTTGGGATAATAGATAATTCTAGATGTACAGCCATGAAAAGGAGAGGTGTATTGACTTCCCCTAACTATTTTGCACTGTGAGCGAGCAGTTGGATTTCAGGTAGACTCCACATTTCTGATGGGGCGTCAATCTGGAATGTTGGTGAGAAATCCATAGTTTGATCCTAACCTTTAAAAGTAGGACTGAATAGTAATTCAGCAGTGATTGTTCCTTCTCAGAAGATTCAGACCACAATATTCAGGGAAAGAAAGCCATACTAAGGGAGGGAATTGTAAGCTTTTGTTAAAAAAGGATTGGTTTATAAGGTGAAAACATGGCTACTAAAATTGTATGGGACATCTGTTAAGGCAACACACGGTATACTGTGCGAAGCTTTAGTTACTTTATTCTAAGTAGAACATACTACTCCTAAGGGGATTGCAATGAAAGGTTCACTAGACTAGTTCCTGGTCTGAAAGCACTATCCTATGAGGATACATTGTGTCGGCTTGGCCTTGGAGTTTTGAAAGATAATTCAACTGAAATATATAAGATCTTTAAAGGGCTTGACAGTGTAGATGCTGTATCATGTTAAAATTCTCCTCCACAAACCTGCTGCAGTCTAGCATATCTAATTGCATCAATGTGGTGACAGCTGCTTTGTTGAGGTTGGCAGACTAGATCGAGAACAGAAAGCATAGACAGATTTTCATGCATGACTGATGTACTTAGGATCCCTGGTGTAATAGCTTGTGTGTGTCAGAAGATGTGTAACTCCCTAGAATTTAATCCCAAAATCCAGTTGTTTTTTTTTTAAATTGAACTTGAGTATAAACATGCCATTCTGGTTGATTAACAACAAAGTCATACTTTTGCCAAACTATCACAGACCAATTATACACCTCATGGGATTGGCCCCACAGCTGAAAAGCTAATCTTGTAAACAATATCATATGAAGATAGTTTTAATATATCTGGGTTAATATTCTCTCAGATAATCTGCCAAATATGATAACTCTGGCAGCTGGCAGATATACATTGGCTAACAGTTAAGGACATCCCAGAACCTCATAGCCAATTACGTACTTTTCTTAGTGTTGTTACTATTGCTGTATTGGTAAATACTCAAGCTGGATTCTCATTCAGTATTATAAAAAATGTATCCACCTCTTTATGGTCATTTTTGCAATGGGATGCCACCATACAGGGGCTTCCCTAGAGTGCAAAACTAAAGACTAGTGTACCCATTAAGATTATTCATTCATGTCATGTGGACTTTGTTGGCTAAGAAACCTCTGTAGTTGTCCTTAAGAAGGTGGTAGCAAACTGCCTTCTTGTAAGTACACCACAGTGCTATTGAGGAAGGAGTTGTAGGATTTCGATCCAGCAACAGTGAAGGAATGGTGATATAGTTCCAAATCAGAATGATGTGTGACTTGGGGGAGAACATGAATGTGGTGGTGCTTCCATACACTTGCTGTCCTCATCCTTCTAGGTAGTAGAGGCTAAAGGATTTGGAAGGTGCTGTTGTTGCAGTCTTAGCAAATTATATATCACTCAGCAGAAGGCCACAAGTATGCTCTAGCAGGAGATTCAGGCCTGGAGTATAACTTGAAACTCTGAAAATTTGATAATTGAAACAAAATATCAATAGATAGCCACTTACACAAAAAATTGAAGAGGGCAACATATGAAGCCTCTAGAGATGGAGTCAAGAAATCCCCATGTAATGATAATTAGTCAGTATTATATCTAACTAGGTGAGGTTTATGAACAAAATCTCCTCATATCTGTCAATACAGTGGTTTAAAGATTTTCAGTGCCCCTTGTCAATAGACTTTTCCAACGTCGCTCATACTGACAACAAACTTAATCTGAACTAAATTTTGTTGGACTTTTCAAACAAATCTGCTTCAGAACAGCAACTTGCAATAACATCAACAGCATAGTCTGATTGTTACTCCATTTTACATCTATCGATGAAACAGGTAGCAGTGATATAGGGAATCATTATTAATATAGATACTAATTTTGAAGGATTGTAACATTTTCCAACTATCAATTTACAAGGTGACTTGTGATACAATAGATTGCAAGATTAGCAGTTAAATGAAAATGGCCATTTTTTGGGGATGAATTTGCTTCTGCATGAACGTGTAAAACTATTGCTGTAAAATTTCATTTGCTTTTTGCACAGACTACAGGAATATAGTTCAGAAATAGTATAATACTTTGATGAAAAATAAAGAAAATTCACTGACCCTAATAAATGTTTAGAATTTAAAGTTCAGTAAGAAGCAAAGAGATTTTTAAAAATTGCTGTATTTACTAAGAATGAGACTATTTTCTGTTGAAATAATTTGTACGAATTTCCTAATTGGATCTTTACCTTACCCTTAAGGTAGTTAATATTTTGGTTGATGCCCAACTAGAAATGCTCAGTGTAGAATGACATGGTAGAAATATCTGATTTCACTAAAATGAAAATAAAGTTTTATGAAGAGCTTTATGATTTACCCTGATAGTAGGAACTGCCGTTGCTGGAGAATCTGAGATAACAAGGTGTAGAGCTGGATGAACAATGCAGGCCAAGCAGCATCAGAGGAGCAGGAAAGCTGACGTTTCAGGTCTAGACCCTCCTTCAGAATTTTGGGTCTAGACCCTTCTTCAGAAACTCTTCAGAATTTCTGAAGAAGGGTCTAGACGCAAAACGTCAGCTTTCCTGCTCCTCTGATGCTGCTTGGCCTGCTGTGTTCATCCAGCTCTACACCTTGTTATCTCTTATTTGTGATTTATCCTGTTAGTTTTCCTCCCAGTCAGGAAAATAGGAAAACTTACCCATGCTTTTTCAGTATGTATCATAACATTTTTACAGTGCTGAATGAGCACAAAAAAGTTAATTCAATTCTTGTTAAGAGCAAAGAACAAATGACTAAAATGAAATTGACATCCAGCAAAGTTGGAATGTGAGCATTGTTATGAAGTCTATATATTTAATGACATTTTCAGGATTTGATATTGAAAGATTGTCGATGCCTGGATAAATACTTTTAAGTGGTCAATGAAAGGATATCACAACTTTCAATGTCAAGGTATTTCAGGCCATCACAAATTTTGTGATAACTACTTGTTTCCTGAAAATCACCTGTCTGAATTTATGATTGTCAGGTTTTAATTTTCTTCTTTAGATGTTGTTTTGAGTAGTTGGTGACCAGCCTGGGAAAGAAAAAAGAGCTTCCCCCCACTATCTCGGCTTTTTCTAATGAACTTCAGGGTGAAATGTCTTCAGGTTCGGATAGACTTCATCCTACAGTCTTAAAGGGGTAGATAATGAGCTTTAAATATATGTTGGTATTAATCTTTCAAGATTTCCAGCTTTCGCAATTTGTTGATTTTATTTGTTATCCAAGCCTGGTTGAGTTTCAGATGAGCTACTTTCTTTAACTATAGTAGTCCATGTAGTGTAGGCATAGTCATAGGTTTGAAAGAATCTCTAGGACTTAGACCCAGCAACAGTGAAAAACAGCGATACATTTCAATACAATACATCACAAGTTAAGATAGTGTGTGGCTTGGTGGGAAACAAGCAGATGGTGGTGTTACCTTGTATTTTTAGGTATTTGTTTATAGAATGTGGACATTGCTGATAGGCCAACATTTATTGCCTCTTGGGCAGTTCAGAACCAACTATACCTGAGGAAGGGTCACCAGATCCAAAATGTTAACTCTGATTTTTTTTCTTCACAGATACTGCCAGACCTGCTGAGCTCTTCCAGGAGCTTCTGTTTTTTGTTCCTGATTTACAGCATTCACAGTTCTTTTAGTTTTAATTCAGAACAAACCATGTTGTTGTGGAGCTGGAGACGCATGTAGACCAGACATGATTGGCAGATTTACTTCCCTAAAGGGCATTAGTGAGCCAGATGGGGTTTTATAACAATCAATGGTGGTAACATGGTCGCTATTAGGTTAAATTTTTAGTGAATTCAAAATTTCACAATCTGCCATGGTTGGATTCCCCTTCCCTCCCCGTCCCCAAAACATTAATTTGAGGTCTTGGATAACTAGCTCAGTGACATTACCAGTACGGCAGGCCCTAAACCCTTGCTGTCCTTGCCCTTTGAGGCAGTCTAAATCAGGGTTTGGAAGGTGCTGCTAAAGGAGTCATGGTGAATTGCTGCAATGCATCATATAAACAGTTTACCCTGTTGCAATAGTGCATCTATGTTGAAGGGAGTGAACCTTTAAGATGTGAGATGGGGAGCCAGTCAGGTGGACAGTTTTGTTCTGGATGGTGTCCAGCTTCTTGAGTTTGTTTGCAGCTGCAGTCATCCAGGCAAGTAATGGGTATTCCATCACATTCTTGATTTGTGGACTATAAATGGTGGACCGACTTTGGGAAGTTAGGAAGTGAGTTACACGCCACAGAACTCCTAGCTTCTGACCTGCACAATATGACTGAAGCTAGCCCGGTTCAGCTTCTGGTTAATGTTAAATATTGATCGTGGGTAATTCAGAAATAGAAATGCCATTAAATATCAGGCAGTAAGGGTGAGATTCTCTCTCATTTGTCATGGTTATTACATGGAATTTGTGAGACACGAATATTACTTGCCACTTATCAGCCTAAACCTGAATATTGTGTAGACATTATGCTTATAGACACAGACTGGTTCAGTACTTAAGGAATTACAAATAGTTTCATTGCAGAGATTAGATCTGTTTTGTTGGTTGTGGCATCACTGATCTCTGTCTGTCGCATGCTACTTATGCTGTTTTATATGAAGTGTCGTCTGATGGGGGTCGGTTAGCTCAGTTGAATGAAAGGCTGGTTTGTGACACAGAGGATGGCAACAGCATGGGTTGCATTCCAGTGCTGGCTGAGATTACTATGAAGGTCTTTCCTTCTCAATCTCTCTCCTGGCCTGAATTTTCCTAATGCTCAGGTTAAACCACCATCATAGGTCCTTCTTTAATGAAAGAGCAGACCTACGGCCAACCTTTGGATCTATGATGTCTTTACCTAGTCCTGCACTGTAGCTTCACTAGGTTGATTGTTGCTGTTGTTAGGTTTGCCTTGTGCTTCTCCTGGCATGCTTTCCTGCAGTCTTCATTGAACCAAGGTCAAACCTCTAGTTTGATGATAATGATAGAATGGGGAATATGCTGAGCCCTGAGGTTACAGGTTGTAGCGGAATGCAATTTTGCTGCTACTGATGGCCTACAGCATCTCATGGATGCCAGCCTTGCGTTGCCAGATCTGTTCAAAATCTATCCCATTTAGCACAGTGGTGGTGCCATACCAAAACAAGCTATCTTGATTGCCAAATCTGAACTTGGACTTTGCCTGCCTATTTCTCCTCATAGTTGGGACTGTGACATTGATGGATTTGTGTTGATCAGTGTGTCTGTCTCACCTTGCTCTATCAATGGGTTCTGTGCTACCAGCTAACATTCAATTTCTTTGTGAGTTGTGCTTCATTTCTGACTGACACTTGGGATTGTAGGAGGATATTGGAGGAGAAGAGCTTTGTCAGGCTGTTCTTTTATCAGACATCCTCTTTCAAGCAAATGTTCTAGATGATGGTGATGGCATCTCTCTAACATTTGTTAGATATGTGAATGCATCTGGTCTCTTTACAACTCTGAACACATACTTTTCTTTCTCACCTCCATGATTTATTCATCATGACCTTTCGACCAGAGTAAACTCTTAAGTTTCATGCCTCATTAATCACAATTTGTCTTTACTTTATCTGAATTTTCTCTTACATTGCAATTGACGTCAGCCTTAATCAAACTAAACCTTATCCTAGCAGAAAACTTAAAGATTAAATTGTGAGGTAAGGAGCCTGCTGTGGTGTTTTTCTGTAAGAGAACAAAAAAATTGTCTGGTTTCAAGAAGAAACATGGAGATTACTGCATAGTTTATCACCTAGCCAATACTTCCTAAAGGCAGCTTTACAATCTGTACACTTCTATCAGCAGCACCATTTGATGTTGGGTTATTTATTAACCTAGGATCAGTAGTAGACCATTCATCCCATCAAACCTGTCCTGACATTTCTAGTTCATGGCTAAATATCTCTGCAGTGCTTCTTTCCTCCACGTTGTTTGATGTCATTAGTCTCATGAAATCTATCTATTTCTGTTTTGAACATGCTCAAAGTTTGAGTTTCCACAGCACTATGGAGTATAGAAATCTCAAGATTCGTCACAATCTGAGTGAAGAAATTCCTTTCCAACTCAGTTTTAAATAGAATGCCCCTTAACCTGAGATTATGACCTCTGGTTCTAGAGTCAGTAGCCAAAGGATACATCCTATCTGTATCTCCCTGTCATGCCTTGTAAGACTTCTATATGTTGAAATGAAATCACCTCTCATTTTGAAACTCGAGAGGATCCTGATCTAATTTCCTCAATCTTACCTTGTGAGACAATCATTCATTGCATTCACTCAGTGGTAAGTATATCCTTCCTTAGATAAGAAGAACAAAGCCTTAGACAGTACTCCAGATGAGGTCTTATTAAGGATCTATGCAACAGCAGAGAGATATTTTTACTTCTATACTCAAATTTCTTCCAAATAATGCCATCACACCACTGCCTTTTAGCAACTGATTGCTGCACCTGCATGCTACATTTTAGTAACTCATGGCAAGGGTACCCATATCTCCTGGGACATCCACACCTCCAAATTTCTCACCATTTAAAAAATATTCTGCTTTTTTGTTTGTTTTTCACTGAGGTGGATAACTTCACACATGCTTACATTATATTCCATCTGTTACCTGTCCATGTCATCTTGAATCTCTTTGCATCCTCTTCACAACTTGTATTCCCACGTAGTTTGGTGTCATCAGCAAATTTGGAAATATTAACATTGTTCTTCGCATTTAAATCATTACATGGATTGTGTGTTCAAGTGCTCACGGACGCAGAATTGGACATTCTAAATTGATTCATACCTAGAGAAATCAGGCCCGACAGAAAAATGGCCAAACTAAATTAAACAGCAACCAGCAGCTACCAGCTACAATCAGCTTGAATATTGTGTATTGGAGATGTGTCAATCAATTATTCAATCACCTTGACTGCACTTTATGCTTCCCAGCATGGCAACCATGAAGATTGTTGGTGTGACCCCATGGATGATTTGAACCCAGCTCATCATAACATTGACCAAAGGCCACAGAACATTGTGGAGGATCAGAGGCAAGGGGGATAAGAATACACACCTGGACACTACACCTCAGTGAAGACTCAAACTTGCCTAGCAGTGGAGCCCCAAGCATCTGGAGAAAGAGAGAGAGAGAGAGTAAGAGAAGATCTGCCCTGACTTGTGAGACCCCCCTTCGTGGAAGAGAGCCAGCCCTACATCAGAGAGGAAAAAGGCTCCAATGACCCAACATGAATAAGTGGATTGTTGAGGGTAATACTCTTTCTCAGACGGATAGAGCTAGATAGAAAGTAAACGTTCTGGGAATTTGGAAAATTATTACATGGTGTTTTTAAGAAGGAATATTTTGCTAATAAAATCAAGTTGAACCACAAACCGAATTCTGCACCCTTTGTCCACCTCACTGATGAGAGAACTTAATGTTTTCATACATAAACAGGTCAAAGTGTCCAAGGCACGGACAACATTGGTGTCCCTAAGTTGCCTTCGATTAGAAGTGTTTGTATAATTTCTGAGATGAACCCCACCAAATTTAAACTCTCAGACATCCAGCCTGAGCCTGATTTATGAGGGCAGCTGCCCCACATTACAGTCAGGACTCAAATGGGTGAAAGAGCGTGAAAGTTTTCCAACCAGTGATTGGGCCATGAACCAAGTTCTTATAATGTGTGGTGCCAGAGTTAGTACAGGGTCGGGAAATCACTGAGAAGGAAATCTAATATAGACTGGTGCAGGGTCGGGAACTCACAAAAATCAGAGGCAATGAAGCTGAATATAGGGTCAGAAGACCCACAAGATGGCAAGAATATTGGTGTTGCGGACCCATAAGGATACAGAAAAGCTAGAGTAGGAGTTGGAACCCAAGAGATGAGCAATAGTGAAAAGGTGGGGACTGATAGAGAGAGCAGTAAATTGAAAGGAAACAACAGGAGAAATGTCACAATGCCAAGAGTAGGTGGAGGTTCAAAGAAAGTACCTCAATATGAAGTGGCCAGATGGGTTGAACATTGGAGTAAACACATATCAGGTCAGGGACCTGTGGGACAGAAATGGTGGGCAAAGTACGGAAAGCTGAAGGAAAGTGCACTTTAGACCTCAGCAAGGCTAGAGTGATAGCCAGCTGCATGGAGCTGCTGAGAAGTAGAGAATGGGAGAAGGTGAAGCTCAGTAAGGAACTGGAGAAAGTGAAGCTGGAACTGGAGAAAGTAGAAGTCAAAGCAGAAGAGCAGGAGCGGAGGAACCAGGTGAATGTGATACACTTTGGGACACTTTCAAACCCAGTGTGATAGAGCGTACCAGGAGGAGCAGCGCGTGGTCTGTGATTGGAACGCAGCCCAAATGGATATGGGCGAGCTGACTTAAAAGTATAAAAATCTACAGGTTGTGTTTAGCATCCTGCACCAAGCAGATTAAGAAAACAGAGCCTGTGCTGCAACCCATTTGAAATGTCAGCACAAGATTAAAACATTAAAGTCCCAACTTGCCTTGCAAAAGGGAATGATATGTGCATTTGGGACAATAAAATCAGGTGGGAACACCGATTATGGGATAGACTGGGAAGCAATGGAAGAACAAGCCCACAGATATGCCAAGAGTGGCAAAGTTTGGGGACCCCCACCTCCCTTTCCAGAGGGAATTGATCCTTCAACATCTTACACGATCTTATTCTGCACTGATTATGTGACTGACAACAACCGGTCAAGATAGCAAAAACATTAATCCAATTACTTACACAACCCCATTTACAGCGATGCAATTGGCCAAAGATCCCTGTATTTGAGCCCACAGCTGACCCCCATATATTTTTTGAGAGCCCTCACCAACAAAAGCTACTCCACAGGCTAATCCTTGATCTATACTTAAATAAAACAAAGAACTACAGATACTGGAGGTCTGAAACAAACAAAATCGCCTGGTCTGGTACTGTCTGTGAAGAGAAAACAATGTTAACATTTTGGATCCAGTGACCCTTCTATCAATCTCTAACTAAACATTCTCAAACACTGAGCTTCCAAACAGTAGGCATCATTGTGGGTCAAAACAGCATCACCCATTAGTGCTTTCTTCTGGCACTTCACAGACCAGTTCCAATCTATTGCATCTTTAAAGAATTGATACCCAAGAAGTGAAAGTCATAAGCTAAAAAAAATTGGAATAATGCATCATGTGACCTTCTCCAGCCATTCAGAGTTAAATTGCAGGAAAGCTTGGTGCTGTAGCACCACCTAGCTGGGAACACTAAATGAGCATCATCAATCTCACTTGGAAATCAGCAGGAAAATACAAGCAGAGCATGACCAAATGAGTGTATTTGTGGCAGAAAATAAATGATAGAAGAATTGTTAAAGGAAGTGTGTTTTACATTTAGAAGTGCAAATCTTTGCACGTCTTCTATTAGAGCATCAGATGAAAAATTCTGAAAACATTTCAGGCTTAAAATTTAAGCGAACATTGAAAAACAGAACTGATTGTGCAAAATATGTAAAGTAGAAAGTTAAGTTGAAGTTCATAAATAACTGGGCAAGGTTTCAGGAATAAAAAGAAATGGTACAAATAGAAGAGATTCTACATTATCAATGAACATTGAGGCAACTATTGGTAATCATTTAAAGTAATTAGATGGAGATGGAAATGTGTGTGTGGGTGTGTGTTGGATGGAAATAAAACGGAATCCATGGTAAAACAGATTGTGGGGAGAAGAAAGTTAAAGGTTGTTTTGATCAGAATAGTGTGTTGCAATAAGTGAGCAACTCGCACAAAGAATCACGTTCGTATGAGTTGACAATATCAAACGGTACAGTACCACGAAAGAATCACTTCCACATCAGATAACACAGTCCTCAGAGTGAAAGAACAGATGATTGCAAATCATATCTGCATATAATGGTTACAAGACCTATCGAGATAGCTGCAAAAATAGAAATTGCTGGAAAAGCTCAGCAGGTCTGGCAAAGTTAACATTTTGGGTTGAGTGATCCTTCCAAAGAACCTGCTGAGCTTTTCCAGCAATTTCTATTTTTGTCTCTGATTTACAGCATTTGCAATTCTTTTGGTTTCCATCGAGTTAGTTGATGACCAAGCTGCTTCTGGGGCTGTGAGGAGTGGGCAACACCTCCAAGAAGTATTATTCTAAATGTGTGACAAATTGAACATTCCATGTTAGATTATTGCCATTTCTTACGTACCAAATGGGTTACTTGTTTGTGTATATGTTCACATTAGACTTATTTTTAATTCAAGGAAAGAGAATGTTGCAATAGCGTGCTTGCTACTATTAACTAAAGAATAGTTCTTTAACTATATAATTATGAAAATACTTTCATCATCACAGGAAGTAATACAATGTCAGGTGGGCCAGCATCCCTTTGAGGTACAAAAACAAACGTTGCTGGAATAGTTAAGCAGGTTTGGCAGCTTGTGAAATCAGAGTTAACGATTCGGGTTTGGTGACCCTTCCTCAGAACTGATGGTAGCTAGGAAAATATTGGTTTATATGCAGAAGAAAGGGTGGAGGGAGGGGGTAAGGAGTAAATAAAAGGTGGGGATAAAGCCCAAACAGAGAGAAAACAATTGGATAGACAAAGAAGTAGATAATGGTCTGGATAGAAGAGTGAATAGCTGTTAATGGAGACTGTTAGTGGCTAACAATAGGTAATGTGTAATGGCAGATTATGTGATAACAAGGTCTGGTGTGTGGGGCTGGGGGCTAAGACATGGGACAGTTCAGCCCCTAAAGTTATTGAACTCGATATTGAGTCCAGAGGGCTGCAGGGACCCCGAGGGAAAATGAAGTGTTGTTCTTCCAGCTTGCACTGAGTTTCGCTGGAACACTGCAGCGAGCCTGAGACAGAGATGTAGGCCAGGGAACAGAGTAGTGTGTTAAAATGGCAGGCAACTGAAAGCTCAGGGTCTTTTTTGTGGATAGAATGTAGATGTTCTGCGAAGCAATCACCCAGTCTACACTTTGTTTCCCCAATATACAGGAGACCACGTTGTGAGCAGCACTTTAACACACCACCCTGTTCCCAGGCCAACATCTCTGCCTCAGGCTTGTTAGCCACTAACAGTCTCCATTAACAGCTATTCACTCTCCCAGCCAGATCATTACCCACTGTTTTGTCGTCCAGCTGTCTTCTCTCTCTTTGGGCTGTATCACCACCTATCATTTACTTCTTACCCCCTCGCCCACTCTATCTTCTGCATATAACCCAATATTTTCCAAGCTACCATCAGTTCTGAGGAAGGGTCACTGGACCTGAAACTTAACTCTGATTTCTCTTCATATACACTGCCAGACCTGAGCTGAGCTTTTCCAGCAACGTCTATTTTTGTTTCTGATTTACAGCATCTGCAGTTCTTTTGGTTTTTATCCTATTTAGCTAGGTTGCACAGTGCGTAATACATGTAGGAATAGCTTGAGGAAGGCTCCATTGTAATCTTTATTCAACCTTCATACTTTACGTTCAGCTTCAGATGATGAGGGTTCAACATCTGAAAGAACAGACCTGGGCCCCCTTGTGTTGGTCTATAAAGAGATACTACAAAATGCAATATTAAAGACTTGAACACAGTACTGGTTCATTTTGACTCAAAAATGAACAAAGAAGTCTATCATTTTGTATTTATTTATTTCTGTGGCTTTCTTTCTCTCTAATTTTACAATTTCTGAAGTTGTTTTGGAAAATACAAGTAATTCAATATTTGTTGTAATTTCTTTGTATTGTGATACAGTTGAACTCTAAAATTATTAAACACAATTTGAGAAGAGGACCTTTGCTTTAAGAGTGAAGAATGACAAAGAAAAAATAGGTTTCAATTCTATTCTTTGTATTGGGAAGATCTATCATAAAAGTGCAAGTGTGATTGCTGTGACTTCTGTGTTCATCACCCAAAGATTACTTGTGATTTGGTAGGATTGCTTTGACTACAGAAATTTGTCTAGATTGAACAAAAAAAAAATTGTGGGCTGAATATTATGTATTTTTGGCTAAGTTCAAGTTGCATCAAGTTTTTTTGGGAGGTTTGTCACAGCAAGGCCTTATGAGTTCTCTTATCATATCTTACCAAACCTGCCTCACTAAGTATCTATTACACCCCTATGGCATCTCTCATATTCAATTTCCACCCCATCTTACCACATATCGTTTATGGAACAATTTGCCACACACCAGATTCATTGGCATCATATGCATCCATGCCCTGGGCAAGCAATGTTAGTCCACAGCTGCCATACATGGTTCCTGACATTTGTCCTGGGCATGGGTGAAAGGGGGAAATCTGGGGCCCACTTTGTGTCAGGGTCCAGGAGGCCCTAATGAAGGATGTGTTACCAACAAGGAACTGCCTCCTCCTTGA